TGTGTTTAAAAACCGTTTGGATGTAGTGCTCAGGGAAATGATTTAGCGGAAGGTTGTTAGAGTTAGGGTAGTATGGTTAGGTCGTGGTTGGACTTGATCTTTAAGGTCTTTTCCAACCTGAGCAATTCTATGATTTTGTGATTCTAAGTTACTCACTTACCTCTCTTCCTCCCTTTTTCTCATGCTAACTTAGAAGTTTTGAAATATTATCTATTAAAAAGACTTAGGACTTTTATCTGAAGACTTTGGTCTTTGGCAGAGATTCGATTAAACTCCCCTCCCCCTTTTAAGACAATGCTGTTGTTTTGCATGTGCTAATGATTGTGGTTTCTAAAAGTTTTATTATACATTTAGCCTAGTATTGCTAGTTATTACAACCTCAGTGACGTAGTATGCAGATGGGTACATATAGTTAATCTGTACTTATAAAGGATGGACAGTGCTTTAGGACATTTCATAAGTCACCATTAAAACTTAAGTGTACAATGATCACCAAATGCTTCTTTACTTAACTATATTAAAATGAGTTTTCAAAGTTATAGAACTCCACATCTTTATGGCTATTTGAGTCTACAGTCTCTTTGTGTTTTCTTCTGCCTTGGCTTTGAGTTCTGCCATGCTCTGTAGATCACTAATGAAGAGGAAATTGGGATGAAAATTTTGTTCTTGCCTACCCCTTGTGTCTTTGGTATGAAATACAAGAAAGCTAAGGAAGCAAGTTTTTCAATAATCAGTGTCTCTGACAAATTTTTCATGGTTGGTTTGAAAATGCCAAAGGAAAGGTATGAATATGCTGGAGAAGTAGCACAGTGAGCTGTAGACAGTCCAGGACCCTCCTGGAATGCATAAAGGATAACTTCTTGAGCCAAGAAATAGCCCAACCAGGAGGGATGCAATATCCAACCTGTTGCTCACCAACTCAAGTGAACTGATCAGTGAAATCAGGATTGCTGATTGCCTCAGCTGTAGAGATCATTGGCTGGTGCAGTAAATGCTCCTAAAGGGTATGGGACAGAAAAGCAGGAAATCTATGATGCTAAATTTTAGGAAAGCCAAATTCCAGATCTTCTGGGAGTTGGTCAGCAAAACCCCCTGGAAAACAGTCCTCAAGGGTGTGAATGAAGCAGAGATGGCAAATCTTTAAGGAAATGTTCTTTAGTGCACAGAAGCTCTCCATGCCCAGGAGTAGGAAGTCAGGAAACTAGAAGCATAGCCCCCTAGCGAGCAGTGCAGGCAAGCTGGTAACAGCTGACAAAGTTAAGGCTGAGGTACTCAACTTTTTTCTTCTGTCACCACTGGCAACTGAGCAGATGAGTAAGAAGGTGGGGACTGAGAGAACAGTGTCTCTCCTGCTGTGAGGATCAAGTTTGCAACCACCTGAGGAACCTGAACATCTCTAAGTCCGTGGGTCCCAAAGAGATGCGTCCCAGAGTCCTGAGGGAATTGGCTTATGTAGTTGCCAAGCCACTCAATAATATTTGAAAAATCATGGTAATCAGGTGAAATCCTTAGTGACTGGAAAAAATGCAATGTTGATCCCATTGTTAAGAAGGGTAGGAAGGACAACCCAGGGAACTACTGACCTGTTGGTCATCTTGCATCCAAGGCACATGGGAGAGAGGGAGGTGATAAAGGACAAGCCAGCATAGCTTTACCAAGGGTGACTCCTGCCTGACCAACCTGGTGGCCTTCTGTGCTGGCATAACTGCATCATGGACAAGGGAGGAGCCACTGATGTCATCTGTCTGGAATTCAGTAAGGTCTTTGACAGACCCCATAACCTTTTCTCTACAAATTGGAAAATGGATTTGACAGGGCAACAACACTAATACGTTGGCTTCTCTTGGTATTTCTTGTGGTTGAAGTGAGCTGGCAGCTAACATACCCAACCTTTTGCTCACAACCCCACTGCCCATTGAGATGTGGAGAGAATCAGAAAAAAAAAAAAGGCAGAACATGTAGGTTGAAATAAAAACTGTTTACTAGTCCGTCAACAAATGCCCAGCCAATCCCCAAGCAGTGGCTGCCTCCTGACAAACTCCCTACAGTTTTATAGTTGTTTTTATATCACACCTTATAGTATGGAATATCTCTTTGGCCAGTTAAGGTCAACTGTCCTGGTACTGCGCTCTGCCAGCTCCTTGTGCCACCAGTACAAGACAAGATAAGATTTTTATCTTTGTTATACTACTTAAGTGTGGACTAAAAATTATGAAGATTACATTTCATGCTGAACTTTTTCTCAGACAAGGTATTTTGAAATTGGTTCTTTGAATTACTTGATATTTCTGCAAGCAGATTCTTCAACAATTTGGTTCCCAGCTTGTGTCTGGTTAGCAAAAAATCTAAGCTTTCTTAAATTTCCGATATTTCTAACCAAATATGTAAAACAATTTTTTTTTTCTAGTCTTGACCCAGAGCAAAAGGAAATGTTAATTGAAGTGATAGAAAAGCTGTTGAAGGATAGAAGTACGGTAAGAGACGAGTTGCTATTACATATATATGTATATGCTGTATGCGTGTGTGTGTGTATGTGTTTGTATGTGTGTGTACAAATATATATTTAAGTTTATATATTTAACTATATATATATATTATATAAGTATTTGCATATATTTAAGGAGTTATATCACTCTTAACGCACACTATACAGCTGAATGACAGCCTGAGGAAGATTTTTCCTGAAGCCTTATTACTATGTTTTTATATGCTTTAAAATAGAAGCATCATTGTGTATCCATGCATTATACTGTGAATGTGATAATGATAATATCCCTTTACAAGATTGGTAATTTTTTTTATGTTTCAGGTATTTTTAATCCATTTTCTTATTACTGGTTCTTGTTGCTTTTTTGTGTGTGTTTGTGTATGCTTTTTTTTTAAAACTTAGCTTAAAAAATGAAAAATTTATAATTATATTAATCAGTGTACAAGTGTCTTTGTATTTTTTCAATGAGATATTAACTGGATCATGTCAATTTGTGATAAGAATAACTTCTGTGTAATACACAGTGTACCTTTTGAAGTCTGTGGTGTATGCAAATGTTTACGCAACAATACTTGCTGTGTGCTTTTTTGTCCTTGTGAATATACGAAGTGAAAGCATTGTTAGGTACCAGATAGTGAGTTGCTTCAGGTACCATTAGTCACTATTACTTTGTTGGGTTTTTTTTTGCTGTTTTTAGATGTCAGTTTTTAGTGTTTATGTGTAATATTAGTCGTCTATTACTAATGTAATGTACAGTATGTTGTTCTAGCACAGTCCAGATGTCCAGGACAAAAATGGTGTCAATCTCTAATAGACATCTCACAACTTCCACTGAAGGGTTGCTGAAGAAGAGTGTCAGAGCTTAATGGCTCAGCAGGCAGTAAATCAGTTAGTTAGTTCTCCTGGCTGCATCCATGCTTGACCTGTACTCATTTGTCAGAGACCTTTGTGCTTCTGTGGAGTTGCCCCCAGTGGTTCTTAGTGTATTTTCTTTTTGTGGTTCATGCTCTTGGTGTGCATGCAATCTGTGAATGTGAGATTAGATTTTGTGTACCTGTGGAGGCATAAAGGACAGAGAAGCCATCTTTGTTTCTTCTTATTGCTGATGGCAAGAAAATAAAATCCTTAAATTTCCCTGGCCACTAGTACTTGGAGTGAGAAATAAGGTACCTGACAAGTACTCACTTATACATGAATTTTAATGAAATGTTAGAACATCCCAACTTTTTTTCTGTTTTTCTCAATGGCTATTCTTGGAGATGTTTACAGGGGAAGCTAGTTATCTAATGCCTAATATCTGCCTAATAAATGCCATAATTCTGGTGTCTTTGTGACACTGAATAATAGACATTGTATTTATGAATATCAGCTGAAGCAGTAGTCACAGCTATGCTATTTTTTCCCCAGAATTTAAGAATGATAATTTATATTTTGTTCTTTGTGGCCTTTTCAGAAAGCTTCTTTGGAGATGTAATGTCATAACTGCTGAAGTGTTTTTCTCCCTGTAATTGTACTTGATCTCTAGCAAGCCCTGATTCCAGCTTTGGCTGACGTTTCTGCTTTAGAAGTTTTACTTTTTTCAAAAGGCAGTATGAAAAATTCCAAACAGGAGCAATAGAAATCTGCTTTTGGGATTTTAAATCAAAGCTGCTTCACAGTTTGTTCTGATTTAAAAGGAATCTATCTCTGTTTACTGCTTGATCATTTGATTTCAGGAAGACTAATATAGCACAGAAAAGCTCCAATTTAAGTAGTCATCTCTAGTCATGTTCCACTGAGTGTTCCCAGGAAAGCTCCAAATTTGTTTACAAAAAGCACTTGAGCACTAACAGGCATGGAGTATTGTCCACCTCTCTAGAAAGCCTGTTTCAGACTCGGACCACCTTCACAGTACAGAAATGTTTCCTAATGTTCAGTGTAATGCTTGCCTGGTATCTCTGTGCTGTTTTCATCCTTCTTGTCTTCCTGAGGGAGGTACAGGGAGTGCTGAGGTCCTCTTGGCCTCCTTTTCTCTGGTCTTGGCAATCCAAGTGTCCTCAACTTCTCATTAGAGGACATGCCTTCCTGCCTTGTCACCAGATTTGATACCTTTTCTGGATACTCCCATCTGTGCCTGTGTCCAGCATTGCTCTGTCCCAGGTGCCGCCTCCAGCTTTTTCCTTTGTTGGATTTCATGCTGCTACTGATTGACCAGTGCTCCATTCTATCTAGATCCCTTTGTAAGGCCTCCTGTCCCTCCAGGGAGTCAACAACACTTCCCAGTTCAGTATTATTAGCAGACTTGCTGAGGATGGATTCCAGTCCATGTGGTGGTTCTTAAAGTTATATATGTAGCTTACATAATCTTATGTAGGTTACTTTATAAGCGTTAATAAAGCCTTAAATAGCTTAAATAAGCTTAAATAATTTGAATGGTCTTTCTTATGTTCTGTAAGGGAATCTAGATTTCATATACTTAGGATGCAAGAGGAAGGAGCTCTCTGCTAGAGCTCCTAGAAAATTGATAAATTTGTCTGCACAAGACTTCTTTGAGAAACTGAGCTTTAGAAAAAGATAATTTGCTATAGCCATATGAATTTCATCTGATTAATGTCTTTTTTTTTTTTTTCAGACTTTTTTGCAGCCTCCTTTGCTAGTGATAGTTTGCTTGAAATTTGGAGGGTAGTAATGTGGAACTCTGCCCATGACTTTTTTTGACACTAATCTTTGGGGTCTTGCAATACAAGTGCAGAGAAATTGTTTCCACATATCAACATTAATTGTCATCTCCTGGTAATTTTATTCTAATACTAGTAGATCAAGATCACAATATTACATCATTAAATAGTGTCTTTACCCAGATGGGAGAATCCTAGTGACTGGGAACTGTTGAATTCTTGTGGATTTTTTGTTTGTTTGTTTTTGGGCTATTTTTCTTCCCTGATGGAAGCGTGTCACAGTGTTTCTATCAAAGAGTCAGGTTGATTTTGGCATTTCTATATACCTAAGGACCAATAATCCTTGAATCATGTCTTCTACATTTAATGTCTAGATGAGAGAAATCAATGCACATGATTTTTGTTGTTGTTATTCAATTTGTTTTAGATACGGTTGGAAGAGGATTGTAATTTTTAACTTTAATGTCGCATAACAGATGAATGTTTGGTTCGAATGATGCTTGAAAATTCTCCATATTAAAAAAAAAAACATGTTTATTTTCTTTTCTATAAATATTTGAATTTGCACAGTGGTTTTAAAACTTACTAATACAATGTCTACGTTAAAATGAGATAGAGTAGCTACTAAACATAGATGCCTCTAAATTTATGTAAAGCAAATTTCTTCAAAGAGAACATGCTATTGTGAATTATTAATGCAGCTTATGTTGCATAGAAAGGGCAAAATGCATTTAAATTAGTTGCAGTCATTTCATATTTGAAGTAGAAAGATACTATCTAGATGGGAATTTTACTCCAGTAGAATTGAACTATTTTATCAGACTCTACAAAATGTGTTCATTTGTTAGGTCTCAATCAGCAGTAAATTTTTTATATAAGCTGAGGTAAGCAAAACTTAAAATGGCATGAGATCCAGCCTTAACCCAGCACTTAATTAAAATTTCTGGTGATATAAATGAAAGATCACTCTACTCCTTAAATGGCTTAACACGAAGATACAATTAAAAGCCAAACTCTCTGTTAATCTAACTTGCAAACAGTATCAAGTGCAAATCAACAGTAACCTACCTTCAAGGTGCTAACTGAACGACAGTGTAGAATTTTGATAAAATTGCTTTGCTACAAGTAAGTCCTAGCATACAACTCTTCACTACTTTTACTCTCTTCCTTACCAGCTTTTCTGGGCTTACTGAGCGCAACTCTGGGCTGATAGTGCTTTGCCTGGAGCTAACCACTGTGTTCTCCTCACCTTTGGATCCATTCAGGTTCCACACCTAAATGTAAACTGGCAGTATTTTTTAATGACTAAGGAGCTTAATGCAGCAGGTTGCTAAGAAGAGAACTCAGTAGAACAACAACATCAACTTATTGTTTTTAGATGTTAAATATTTTTATTTAGCTCTATCAAATAATCAAATTTTACTCCCTGAAATGAACTGTATGCGTGTTGGGACCAGCAGGTACCAGAATGTGGATAGAGCTGGAGGCAATAAATGCAACTTCGTGTTTATTCTTATTGGTAATTCAAAAAATCCCCACAGACCCTGTAACTTGTTTAGCATAACTACGTTGTATCAACAAAGCTTTGATTTTTGTTTACCAATGTATTTAATTTTTAAACAGATGTTTAAAAATCTGCTTATTACAGTAACTTAAACTTCTGTTTTACCTTTCCATTACATAAAAAGTGCATCAAATTCTGATAAGCAAGTAGAATAGCATGAATGTCTGCTTTATTTTTCTAGTTTCGCTGAATAACTGAGCAGCTGATGTGATTTTATGTAAAAATAAGATAAGGCCATATATGTTTTTATACTAAAGTGACACTTTTTCAGAAATTAATAGAGCTAGGTAGGTGTGAATGTGTAATTGGACATTCATTTATTTATCCATCCATTTATTTAGATCATTGGTTTCTATATGATTTCACTCTATTTTTCCTCGTTTTTTTTCCCTCAGGTTCTTAACAGGCCTGCTCTTCTAGTTTTGAGATAAATGGTTTCAGGCAGGATTTGTTGCTCAATTTGCTTTTGGCATGCTGTGAAGGACTGTAGAACTACATTCTGTTTGTAGGTTGGTCATTTTATACCTGAATTTTGTAAGCAGTAATAAAAAAACAAAATCAAGTGCATGACCGATACCTAACCTACCTAATAATTTTAAACATTCATACTGATATTGAGAAGAAATCATGTCCATTTTTAAAAACTTTTAGATAAAAAACTCCCCAATTTAGTTTGGACTGAGAAATATATCTCCAAGTTGCACATCTAAAGTAGAAGGCAGAGTGTAGACCTGCTGCTGGGATGTAATTCTGTGGATGATGAGTGTCTTAAAAATGTCTAGAATTTTGATCAATTGTTTTTGATCTGATTTTATTTGGTTTGAACAAATGCCTCTTTGATACAAGGGAAGCTTATGATACTTGTATAAAAATATAAATATGTATGTGCTGCATTGTAAAAATGATTTTGTTCACCCACATCCAGAGAATGGGATTAGTATGTGGCTGCATGTATTATGTTATATGTCATAGCTGTTGCTATTGTAGCATTTTTTTTCTGGGACCAGGTAGTGTATTGACTGCAGTACTGCTTTTGAACTCTTCTAGAATGAAGGATGTTAGAGAGATTTCAAAACATGTTGTTAAACCTGCACTATAATGTATTCCAGAAACTTCTGTTGTGAAGAAACTCTGCAGAGGTTAGAGAAAAGTTTTGAGTGAAGACTGAAATTAAATTAATTTACTGCATGGAATTTATTTATTCCCGGTTAAGATCTACATTTTTTCCCCCCCAAAGGATAATTTTTTTTTTTTTTTGCAGATGCTGTTTAAACATTGTATTCTCCTTTAATGAAAATATCCTCATCACATTAAATTACTTCTAAATTTTAAATTCATCATTCCATTCCCATGTGAAAATTTACTTCTAAATATAACACATATAGCCTAGTATATACTCTGCTTGAGGGATCAGAGGTCTTTAAACATACGTGTGAGCGTTGAGATATTTTTTACAGACTGCATAGTTACAAGATGAAGCACAGATTCTTGGCAAGTGAGATCTCTAACATTAAAAAATGATGGTTGGAATTGGTGATGGCTTTGCAATGAGGATCTTGATCTTTTAAACTAAAGCAATGTCGTTGGGGATAATGGGAAAAAGAAAGCTGAGGTCTACTGTTCAAATGTAGGCTTCTGTTAATAAGTTAATGTTTTGGTTTAAAATCAAAATGTATGTCTGAGACATTGTTTTTCTAACTTATTGATTTAATGTTGGTAAAGGCTTTGCTCCTTTGGAAAAAAAATTACTGGCTTTGTGCAGATGTTTTATTGTGATAGATCTATTATCCCACCATTAGAAGATAAATGACTGATCTTTTCCAGTTTCTGTGCCTCCAGAAAATTGAAATAAGAAGGGGGATATCATTTGGGCTGCATGATTAGGGCAGGTGGGGTGGCCATTAATTTAAGAGAGAAGAATCTTGGCAGCATAGGCCAACTTGCAGTATATTATCAATCAAACCTGGATGTACTTCTTGTGATGACCCAGCACTCTCAGGTTTTTGCAGCATTAATTAGAATTCATGACAAAATAGATGCAAGGAAACGTTTTGTACCCTTCATAATTTTATAGAAAATTTATTGTTATTAGAGGAACCATTTGCTTAGTGTGATTTTTTTCATTACCAGCTTGTCAACTAGCATAGATAATCTGGAGAAAATATGAACTCCATAGATTGGGTGTCACTTTTGTTGATGGTTCATGTAGTTTACCTTGGAGCACAGCTAATGGCTGAAGTTCATAGCAACAGCACAGAAAAATGTGGCAACGAGAGGAAGACAAATGAAGCACGCTTATTGCTTTAATATAAAAAATACATAAATGGAAAGCAGCATGTGAGTTTGATGAGCTCATTGCTAGTTTTGTTGGAGTGATTTATATTTTATCCTTACACAAAAAGCCTCTATTGACACAGTGAGATGGAAATTAACTGACTGTTTTTTGGAAACTAATATTTTCCAGTTTTATATTCTGATTGGATCATTTTGTTTTAATTCTAAATATTTTTATGGAATGTTGAGCATTTAATAAACAGATATTATAAGCTGTTCCTCTGGTGTTTAGATGTATAGTGGGATCATACTATTGGGGTAACAGTATCAACTAGAATAGTGTCATATTAAGAAAGCATTAGGAAATCCTCTCACATAAATCCTTTAGCTACAATATCCATTTTCAATTTATTTTATATTCTCACTTCTTTTTTTTTCATTTATAATGAAAAACTTAATTGAGGAAAACACAGTTATAAGGGTAGAGGGGCAGGGTGTTAAGTAACGTGTTGTATGGCAATTCCTGTATTAACTTCTAAAGCCAGAGGCTCACTACAGGAATAAAATTCTTGTTCATTCTGGTGCTCCTCTTGCATCCCATAATGAATGTTCAAATTTTTAACATTTTTAAGTGTTCACAAGTGACACAAGTGCTTCTCACTGTAAACTTAGTGGGTTACTGATATGAATGGAAATAAATAATTAATTTAAATTTCTGTATTTCAGTGTGGTTGGCTATTTCTTTGTGTTCATCTGTGCTTTACTCTAATAATGGAGCTTTCTAAACTACTGCGATGTTTTTATGAGATGATGCCATGTTGTTAGTGCACTGTCGCTGTGAACGAAGGAAGAGACAGATTATTCTGCATCACCTCTATGTCTCAGCATAAATTTTAAAACCTTCTTCCAGCCTGTGAATTGCAAAGGATCTGAAAAGTCTGTAGTTCTCCAGATTTAGTAGACTACTGAGAATGGAGCAGTCACTGTTCTTCAAGAAAGAGGGAATGAATATATGCTTAGTCTTTCGTTATAACAGCTCCGTTTAAAGTGATATAGGAATCTACTTTAGGTATCTATTCTGCTTGTGATCATGTTGTTTAGGTCTTTTAAGTCTGAACACAAATAAATTATTTTATATCAGCTTTCAAAGTATATTTAAATAGAAGAGAAATACAGAATGACTTGAGTACAGCAGTAGTAAGTAAAAAGTGAGGTAACTGTGCTAGAACTCCAGTCAGACACCAGCATTTGTATTGTCCTTCACCTGTGAACCTAAGATGTGTAAATATTAGGCTGCAAATATTTTTACAGTCATAAATCTTTGCATGTCTCCTTCCATCCCTCCCTCGTTTTCCCCTCTTATATTTCAAGCCTGTCAATAGACCTATACTGTGTGGAAGTGTGGAATATCCATAATAACAAAGTCTATGTGTTAGTGACAAAAAAAAGTCTCTGGGGATTCAAAGTGCCATCACACTTTCACACTAAAGTGCTTTATCACACTATCTTTTGTCTGGAGCTGACCACTATGTTCTGTTGAGCTATATATCCATTCAGGTTCCACACCTAAATTTAAGCTGGCAATGTCTTTTAATGACAAAGGAGCTTAATGCAGCAGGTTGCGAAGAAGAGAACTCAATAGAGCAACTGCATCAACTTACTGTTTTCTGTGATCCCGCAGAACTATAGAACTATTTTAGATGTTAAATGTTTTTATTTAGCTCTATCAAATAATCAGATTTTACTCCCTGGAAGGAATTGTATGTGTGTTGGGACCAGCAGGTACCAGTATGTGGATAGAACTGGAGGCAATAAATGCGACTTCACGTTTATTCTTATTGGTAATTCATAAAATCCCCACAGAGCCTGTAACTTGTTTAGCATAATAGCAAGACTATATTCTGAGCTGTTTTCTTTCAATTGTAATGTTGGGCACATACTAATAAACCAAATGTCAGCCAAATACAGGGAGAAAAATGTAACATATGAATATCATTGTATTTAATATTTCTCAAAAAGTACCATTTCAATAAACTGCACTCCTATTTAATTGCTTACTTTAAGTCATTGGGGAAATTTTAGAGGTTGAAATGCAGATCCCCAGTGCTCAGATAGAATATGACATTAATTTGCTGCCAGAAGGCTATACTGCATGCATGCCAACTGCATACATATCAGCTGCTTCGTATAAAGTCTCATCATTTTACTTACTTGACTTAACATGTACTTTGACACAAAACAAATCTTAATTAAAGCATTAGAGAAAAAAAAAATAATTCTATGCACACAATGACATGTCTCTATAATGCATAGTCAGCTTTGGTGGTTTTCCTGCAGTTAAAGTAACTTGCTGCCTAAAATTAAACAGCAAACAGAAACAGGATTTCCTTTCTTTAATTTTAAAAGAAAATAACAAAACCCTATAAGAATATTTGAATAAGCCTTCAAATGTTGAACATTGAGAATCTATTTCATTTTCTCATGAAAACAAAGCTGTATTTATAATCATAGTCTCTATGTGGACCTCTGTGCGTATATAAAGATTCATTTCTTATGGGATTGAAATATGTAAGGTCATAACATGGCATAAGTGATCCATTTCTGTAACTTTAAAACTGTTCTTTTTTTTTTTTTTTTTAAGTGTGAAAAACATGCAGAAATTCTTGTACTCTGTGAGGAAAGGTGTTAATATATCTCTGTATTGTAATTGCTAATTTTTATGCTTTTTTTTTTTTACACAGTGTATTCATGAAACACTAAGAAGAAATTTTGTATGACAGTTAATTTGGCCATATCAAGAGAGAAATTTAGATCCCAGTAGATTCCAGTAGTGCTGGAAAACTTATTCAGCTCATCTTTAGTTTGATCATGCCAGTCTTGATAAGAGAATCCAAATAGACCTTGTTGGGCACATTGCTGTAGTATACTTTGTTATGTCCTGTTATTTTTCAGTTAATGGCAAGTTTTCTGATAATTTATTTGGAAACTATAACTGTAAGAAAAAGAATGCTTACATAGCACTGTGTCTAAAGGGCTGAGAGCTAAGATTTATGTGTGTAATACAAACGGCAAATGTTTACTCTGTTCCAATATAACTACTCCATTTTTAAAAAAAATAAGATACCTTTCTGTGGGCCTAAAATTTTTTTCTCATTGTTGGTTGTTATTTTTTTCCTTGAAATAAACAATTCTAAATTCAGCCTATCTTAAAATGCTGAGAATAGCCGGTATTAATTCAGATTCTCACTTCTGGGTGACCTGTGAAAGAAATGCTGACCTTCTGGTTTATGTTTTGTTTTCTAGCTGGTAGCTGGCAGCGTTGTGATGGCATTTGAAGAAGTGTGTCCAGATAGAATAGATCTGATTCACAAGAACTACCGAAAGCTCTGTAACTTGCTGGTTGATGTAGAAGAATGGGGTCAAATTGTTATAATCCACATGTTAACTCGATATGCACGTACACAGTTTGTAAGCCCATGGAAGACGGTAAGTTTGTGGATCTTTAATTATCTTATGCGTTTGAATTCTGAACTACTTAAAATTTTGCATATACTTAGGTTTTAAGAGGCATTTAAATGGAGATTTTAATAAAATTAGAAATCAAAAGAATAAGCCTTCACTCTTGGAGATTTCACTGACTCAAGGCTTCCACTACACAGGCTTCCATGGAAATCTGCTTTGTAGGTTGTAATTTACCCCAGGTGTATCCAATTTTTTCATTGTTTTGAGTGAGGTAGTTTTCGCTGTGGATTTTATGTGAGTCAGCAGTAGAAAAGTTTGCCATTCTGTTCTGAAATGGACAGACTCTACTTTCATTTTACATATAAGTGCTTAATATTATAATAATATTATAATAATATAATATGCAGGATATTGAACAGAGCTTGAGTAATGTAATAATAAATTCAGACTGTGTGCTTTTGTGCTTTTTTTTTTTAATGTGTAGTGTAAATATTTTCTGACATCTTCATTTTTATTATATAAATATGACTACAGCCTTATTTAATCATCAGAAAAAGGAATATTCAAAGTAAAAATCCCATCACTTCCAACATTAAAAGAGCTCAAGAAATTGATGCAAACAGAATACTTCTGCAAAGAGCAGTATAAAATTGCTCTACGACTCTGCTTGTGTTTGTTGTACAGGGTTGGAGTGTTACTACTGTGAAGTTTTACCATTTAATTTTAAACTAAGTCATACTTAAAGGTGTGTGTATATTTATTGATATGTGTAATATTTTACGTTAGTGGAATATGAACTTTGTACAGACATAAAAGTATGTCTGGTGTACTTATTTGTAGTGAACATAAGATGAATCCAGAACCTACAGAAAGTTACATCATTTGATTTCATTTCAAGTGAAAATGAAATTATAAGAGCACATCTTTCCTTAAGATTGCTTAAATTATGGAAAGTCTTTTAGATAATGAGACGCTTGAGTAATTTGTTTTCCTAAAGTACTTGAGACAGAATGCTTTCTTTTGTTGCTTATTGAAAGAAAGCTACTTGCATTCTTCACCCTGGAGCTTTAGTTTTTTAAAAGAATCAAAATCAGTAATTTGCTTTACCTGTAGTTATGGTTTCACAATTAATTTAATCCAATTTTAGTTGGTAATGAGATGAAAGAAGAGAAGGAAGAGATGACCTCATGTCTTCGACTGAGTTTAGAGGTCTTGATAGTATTAGACTTCTTTCAGACTGTAATGTACTTTCTTTCATTGAGACCAGATAGATGACAGTTACTCCTACGTCTTCTATTATACAAATTTAAAAGGTTCATGTAACCGTACCGCCTATGTCAACCTAAAATTGTTCATCTCTGGTATTTTATTAATGATACTTTGTTTCTTCTTTTATGAGCTTCAGTGCAAAATTTAGTTTGTCTACCTACTCAGCAATTAAATTAGCAGATTTTTTTTCTGGAGCTGGCTGGAAAGCATGCCTTTGTCAATAGGTTCTTAAATGAACACATCATATAACAGGGCATCTTGTGCAGTAAAAGAGATTTTTAATTTAGTTTATTTGCATCATTATGGATCAGTATTTAGGCTGTTTATATGTAAATGTACGATTTGAGGAACAATTAAGTGTTGACAAAGTAGATTGCAGTCATATCAATTGCAGCACATTTTACATAATTTTTCTAACTGACATCTTTGATGATAAATAGTGGATGCCAAGTCAAAGCCGATTATACAGTGCACTAGGAATTCATGGCGCTGTCAGGGAGAAGACCGATTGACTTTAAATTTACATATTAATGAGAAGATTTGTTAAGAGGGTGCTTGACTATAGAAAATAACAGCACATTTATAGGGCACGACACTTTATAAATAAAGCTGATGCAGGAAAATGGAAATTAAACCTATCAGATTAATAAATTCAAGACTGCTAAAATGCATATTTGCATTTTTATTCACTAAAATTCACCTTACTTTTTGAGAAACGTGCTTCTTTTGTTCAGTTTGAGCTAATTCTCAGCAAGTAATTGTTTAACATTTTGTTTTCTTGTGCTTTATCCTAAAAATATTTATAACAACTATCAGTCACAGAGAAAAATCTATTTTTAACCAGATTCTCTTAAATTGTTGCAAAACTCTTAATAGCATTAATACTCATTAACCAAGAGTTCTCAGTTCTATAGTCATATTTTTTGTTTCTCTGAAGGATTTTCATTCTGGTCATGAATACTGTGAAGAATGTCTCTGCTTTACTGCAAGTCTTGCAATGTTTGAAGGCTGGTTTGAAGTAGTTACTTGTTTATCAGTAACCTTTTTTTCCAAAGTTCTCCAACTTTAACAAGTATTAAATGTAAAGAGAGCAAGTCATTCACCCTGGAGTGATGGTTTCTGCCCAGAACAGATGAGCAAGGACGATTTAAGCCATTTTCTGTCTAGTGAAATATTTTATGCCAGTTGAATTTTTTGCCCATTCCTTTTCCCAGAAGTTTTTGGAATTGTTGTTTATGAATAGAACCATTACGCCTTAGAGTATAATACACGGAGATGCTTAAAATGAAGTTGCTGTTGGCTTGCATGAATGTGTGATCTTAAGGTCTGACAGTTCAGGAACAGATTTTAAAGCTGTGCAGCTGTCTCTGTTTTATCAGTGAAACAATTGTGATGGGAGGCACTGGCTGCTTCAGCTCTCCACCAACAAGTGAGTGTATCATCTTTGAAGCTCAGGGCTCTCAGGAATGGTTATCTTTATTTCAGACAATTGCAGATTTCAGAAGTAAGCTTTGTTGATGTTCAATTAAGATTTGAAAGAAAAAAGAAAGATGAATTGAGATTACTCATGGTCTTCAATCAATGAAATTACTTATAAACTAATACTTACGAAAGTCATGTCTCAGGTTTTCAAGTTTACGTTTTTAGGATTATTAATCCACTGAATTATTTAAGCACTGCTCAACTCAAAGCACTTACAAGTTGAGATTGACATCGGTGATAAGGATGTCGGGGATGGAAATGAAGCCCCCCAAAAAAATGACCTTAGAGAATAAAAACTTCCAGGAGAAAAATAGCAAGTCTTTCAGTGTATATATCCAAAACTGTGAGTCATGGAAAATATCCTGACTCTGAAGGCGTAACAGAAAGAAAATAAATAAATAAATGATTTCCAGCTCAGATTATTCAAAATAGTGAATAATATTGTGCTCTTTGCTTATTTTGAACATTCATTTGTATGCTTAGCATGCAGTCTCAGCTTTACATCTTTTTTTCCCCAAGTTTGATTATTTTGGTTTTTGAGAATTTTTCAACATTGAAAATTAATGGAGTTGATATAAGGGAACAGAAATAAATTAACTCACATTTAATTTGTGGGATACAAACTATTTTGATTACTCTTGGAAAAAACAGATCGCATGTTTTCCTTTCCACAATGTTCAATGTTAAAAATGTTTTCCATAGCACTTAGTGTATGAAGCAGATTGCATTATCATTACAGGACTTCTGTGCCATGTTCCTATTGAACTTCATATGATTTAGTTTTTATGGTTATCTGGTAAAGGGAATATCTATCTTAGTACGACTAAAGAATTTCAGCATTTGTTGTGTGACAGACAAGTATCAGTGTTTGTTTGTCACCTACAAACAAGCTTAAGTTTAAGGCCATTTAATTACTTAATTACCCTTAGCAGTCTGTACTAATTTCTTCTAATCTGGATATTTATTTCCAGTTTTTATACTAATTTCAAAAAACCAAAAAGCTGTTTATGCCAGTTAAGATACCAACATATTTGAACACTGTCTTCTATAAGTACTGGTTGCTTTGCTGAGGAAAGGAGAGAACTGTAGAATTTTCATGGTTAAGAGCAGAAGTCTCTACTTGGTAAGAGAATGTTTTTTGAAATAGATGTGCCTTTGTTTTCTCTGTGAGAATCTACCAAGGTTTCACTTTTCAGAAACGTGCACCTTAGAAACAATTTAGCTTCCAGCTAAGCAGAACTTGTTTTGGCTTGCACTGCATAAGCATTATTTTTCTTGTGTTATCTAGGTTTAAAAAATTGGATTTTTGCAGCTTTAGGACATTACAAGTGATACTGGGGAAATTCACTGTTGCTCTGTAGTTGGCTGAGCACTTCCACTAAACACCAAACAGTAATTAAGGTAGAAGTTGTCAAATATTGAATTTCTTAGGTTAAGACAGAGATGGTGGGGAAATATGGACAACAGGCCCTCTCAAGGCTACTCTCCCTTTTTCTTCCCTTTTTTAGGACTTCCTTTGTTTTCTGCTTCACATAAGCCTTGAGTACATGAGGATATCACTGAAAGCAAAATGTGAATGCTGACAGTGTTTTCTAATGGTTCGATTTACTTTTTTTTTTTTTTTAACTTGAATTGACTTTCTCAGATTCTTTCAGATATTGTATGAGAACAAAAATTGTATGGTATATGTTAAACTGTGAATCATTACCTTGTGTAATAGTATTTCTCTGAACAAGAAAAAAACATTTTTATTGTGGAAGTGATCAAACATCAGAATACGTCTCTGGCAGTATGCAAAAGCCACAGTCCTAACTAATCCTAATCTTCTCGAGCTGACTGTCCAACAGAGTGTTGGACCAGATGAGGTTGCTTCCAAATTCCACCATTCTGTGACCTCCACTCTTTTTGTTTAGTGCTTTAAAATGTTTCTTGCTCTTGCAGTGTTTTCTTAGTATATTACAGTTATGAATTCTTAGTGTATTCTGTAAAGGTTATGGTTATGCATGATGGAATCCAGTGTGAAATGGCTATATTAAGACTGCTCTAAGTGTTTAGCACTCTTCTAAATATCTTTATTATTCTCCATGTTGAGCTGCACATCTAAGGAATGGTAAGTGTAAATAATAATGATTCAGTCAGAGCATATAAGGAATACAGTCTGTCCTTAACTTTTTGTAGTACTCTATAAAGAGTATTCTGAATCAGTTCTGTTGAGAGCGTAATAAAAGTCCTAAATCCTACTTTGCAATGCTGAGAACAGAAGAAGGGAAAGG